TCGAATATTTTCCTATGCCGTTCTAGCCTCCACTAGAGTGTATCATTTAAGTATATCATAAAAGGCAAACGTATAGCTATTTTCTTTCATTGTTGATTTTCGGCGAGCTTTATGCATCATTTTTCCGTAATGCTTTCTGTGTTTTTCTCGGTTAGATATTCACCGGAAACGGCGACAGTGAATCTGCTGTTTACAACATCCTTAACCCTCCAATCACAGCACGATACATAAGGATCTTACCCATAGCGTGGCATACAAACATAGCGATGAGAATAGAGATCTACGGTTGTACAGGTAACGTTTTAATTGTAACTTATAATGCCGATAAAAAATTGAAATAGGGCTGCCTTTTACATACTTTTTAACACATGGTATGACGTAAGTTATGTTTAAAGGTTTTATTATGGAAGGAAAATTCACTCGCTTAATCAATCACTCGTTCACAAGACACTTCCGACATTGCTGATCCTAACAGCGTGCGGGACTGTCATATCAGTAAAAGGCGTAGCTCACAACACAGTTCCCTGGAGCGAGATAGGCGGGGTCCTGGGACTCGATTCTTTCAACAGGACCCAGATCTTTCCTTTTTTTTCCAAGCTTCTGACGAGACGAATGTCATCTTGCTCAATAAATTCACGTTCGCTAATTTCAGTGTGCAGTACACCTCTCGGAATGGAAAGTGGAGCAATCAAGGATGCACAAATAACTGCCTCTACACAGTGGGATGACAATCATGCCACATCAAGGGCCAGGCTGAATTTAAAATTGACCGGAGTAAAGAGAGGAGCCTGGTCAACACGTGTAGTAGATCCCAGACAGTGGCTTCAAGTGGATCTTCTCAGCTTAACCATTGTGACTGGTGTCGCAACTCAGGGGAGGAATGCGCCCCGAATCCAGCAGTGGGTTACCAAGTACAGGTTTCAATATAGTAATGATGGAGTGAACTTCCATTTTTACAAAGAAAAGGGTGACAATTCATTCAAGGTATTTTCGTCGTTCCTCTTGTTTCTCATGTTCGTTAACAGAGGTAGGTGATAAAGAGTGCGAAGGCCAGCATGGGAATGATATTGTAGAATTTCAACCGATGCCCACAAAAAATTTATCCCATAGACCACTTTCATAAATGGCTGCCGGATTAATATTCTTTTGTTTAAATTTAAATTAGCCCTACTGGCCTCGTACTCCAGTACAAAATTCAAAAGAATACATTATCTCAAGCGAGGCCAGAAGGGCTAATTTAAATTTCAACAAAAGAATATTTATACGGCAGCCATTTATGAAAGTGGTCTGCTGCAAATAACGATACGTTTTCCAGAAGCGCAAGACCACATTTAACATTGTGAAAACATCCGAAAAGAGAAAAACAATTATTTTGGACTGGAATAAAGAACGGAGATAGCGTTTGGGAAAAGAATCAAAAGCCAACTTTAGAAATCATGGCGAACTATGGAAGCAAGTTCCGGCGGGTTATACATTGTGGTTTTTCACCAAAATAAAGCCCCACCCAAGCATATCCTGC